TGATGTCATTAATGAGAAGTAAAAAAAGAATGGGACCTAAAACTGAACCTTGTGGTACTCCACACTCAATATCGTTACAACTAGAGTCGTTGTCTTTTATTCTAACCAATTGTTTCCTACCTACCAAGTAAGTTTTGAACCAATTCAAAGACACACCCCAAATTCCATAGAAAGTTAATTTTTTTAATAGAATGTCGTGATTCACGCAGTCAAAGGCTTTGGAATAGTCGCAGAAAACGGTGGCGGAGCAGAGGTTACTATTTAGTGATATATATACCTTATGTAACACAGAAAACATGGCATTACTAGTACATTTATTAGACAAAAAGCCGAACTGATTTTGCGATAAAATATTATGTTTATATAATATTAATTAATAATTTAATGTTAATTTATTAATAATTTAATGTCTTCAAGGTCAAGGTTTTCGGCATTCTGTTTTCTTTTGTAGAGTTTCTTTCTGTGTTCTTTATAACATAATCTTTGATTTTGCTGCATATAGTGTTTATATTCTTAGTGTTTTTTTTATTTCTGATGTTAATTTCTTCATTTCTTGATTCATGAAGCCTCAGCACAAATTTCATTTGTATCTAATACATGAATTTTATGTTTAAATCGTTTTCATAAATTTTCTTAGACTGGTCTAGGTGGAGATTTCCACTATTGATATGGTACCTCTCTTATGAACAATGTTTTTAGAAATGCCTGACATTCTATTTACATATCAGATACTTATTTTTGGATTATTACTGACTAAATATGTCCAAATTCGCATCTTCTGCATTTAGTCTTCGGTTACTTCGTGTTCTACCGCTAGTTTTTTTAGGTACCACACAACCCGTCTCTAATAACCTTTGGGATACACTTAGAAAACTTCGAACGTTTGGAATAGCTTTCAACACAACGTTTAACAGCCCTATTACTGTCACAGTGGGCTTTTACCGTACGTCACTAACATAATTATCCTGATAATCCCGAATCGAAATCATGACAATACAACGTATTCCCAAGTTGCAAGTAATTATGACTGTTTACAAATATACCTTCTATGTATTAAAATAAATGAAACTGTCGGGTTGCCAAATGCAAGTTTTGGTAAAATAAATAAATTATTTTTAAGCTAACAGATGGGTTCATGTACGCTCATGTAATGCAGTCAAAATTGTATTGATGTAATATTTTTAATCAGTTTTTTGTGAATCAAATAACTCAGAGCAGCTGTATGTACCGGCAACATTCAAATTGATCTTTTTAATAAATCTGTCACTCATATTTTCAGCTTAACAAAAACAATACACATTTATTCATTACACACCGAAACAAAACGTTGCTTTTAGGTATCCACCCATTTCAGTTTATTAGAATGGAACAATCGGTCGGCCATATTGGAATAAATATGTATAGCGTTGAATAATATCAAATGTGGCTAGGCAGAGATTATATTTATTATTGTGACATAATTGTTTGCTTTCTGTATAAATGAAAATGAGGAAATCGAACAATGTAACAATTTTGACAACTGATTTAAATAATATTGTAGTGAGTTATGTACATATATAATTTTTAGTAAGCTCTCAAATTTCATTATAAATATATATTATATATATTAAAACAATAAAATAGTTTTGATAAATAATAAATTGTAATATTAAAGTATGAATCTATGCACAAAAAACTTTCTGTACATATCTATTGCACTGTTAAAAAATATACTTAAAATTGCAAAAGAAAAATAGTTGTAGTGGGTATGATTGGCTAAATTATACCCTGAGGTTTTATAACGTCTAAAATCATAAAAAAAATTGTCGGCACCTGGGTCTGATTTTTTTATATGCATAGTGGCATATATGCATGGTGTTAATAGTGACCGATCTCAGTTTTTGTGGAGGAAGAGTTCTGAAATAAGTAGCGACTCTTTAGCGCTCCGCAGAAGACAGACCGGACGGAGAAGTCCTCAACCCCGACACGACGCGTCCTATATGGCTAGGACAAGGGACGTCCTGTATATTATACAGGATAGGTGTGAAGAAGGTTCGCCAAATAAGCACCCGCGGATCAACTGAGGACATGGTATAGGGCAGCAGCTATGTCATTACTAACTCCATGGCTGGGGAAGAATGACTTCTTAATAGGCTTGGAATCAGATACTTATGGGCAACAATCAGATATTGGTTTAATAGGTTATAATACTGCGGTGGGCAAGGCAAAGAAAAACCAACACACTAAATATGCTCAAGATGTTATAACTATATCATCAAGTTATGAAAAACAAAAGGCCCCCAGCCCGTGGCAGACCTAATATGGTCAAAGGGTGCTAAGAATACCCACGACAAATGCTAGGAACCACCCGAAAGTAGAGAACAAAAATTACAAGTTAAAAATTGGAACCTGGAATGCAAAATCTCTATGCTAGAAAAATCTCATAACATTGTGAGAGAAATGAAAAGAATGGGAATCAATATTCTCGGAGTCAGTGAAGTTAGATGGTCTGGATCTGGACAGACAAACATCGATAACCATGTAATATTTTAACATTGGTGTGTCTATACATTTTTAAATTATCTGTTTTCATTTTTAATAACTTACATCAGTTTAAAATGAGTTGTGATATGTACAACTTATATACTAGATATTGTAATAAACTTTATATACCATTTTCAAAAGGTAACATTAAATTTAAATCGCTAAGGGTATACGGACCACAGGTGTTTAATCATTTGCCCACAGTTGTAAGGTCCACCAGTTTAATAAATGTTAAAAAATAGACTCAAAATTGCCAAAGAAAAATAGTTGTAGTGGATATAATTGGCTAAATTATATCCTGAGCTTTTAAAACGTCTTTAACACACAGGTGTTTAATCATTTGCTCACAATTGTAAACTCCATCAATTCCAGAGGAGGACATCGGTTCCGACTACAATCCTGTTCTAGGTAAAATTTCAATTAAACTAAAGAAAATCAAATACAGGTAGAAGATAAAACCTAGCCTCGAGAAACTTAAAGATCCAATAGTACAGGTAGAAATAGAGACAACACTCAATGATACACTTAAAAAAAGCTCAGTGAAGCACCCGCGGAAGCAGAAGAAACAATATAAAGTATTTGACACACCTTCAAAACAACAATCACAACTATACAAAGAAAACAACTACAAGAGAACATCAGAAAAATAAAGAATATATGGATGACAGAAGAAGCCCTTGAACTAATGGATATAAGGAGATTTTACAAAAATCAAAATTAAGAAGAATATAAAGAAAGCCAGAGAATAATCCGAAACAAAATCAGAAAATCCAAAGAAGAATGGATGACCAACAACTGTGAGGAACTGGGAGATTTGGACACAGGTCCAGATGAAATATACGTAGAAATGATAAAGCTTATGAATAAAGAAAATCTTCAGACGTTAATGTTATTATTTAACAATATATATATATATATATATATATATATATATTATATATATATATATATATATATATATATATATATATATATATCACTGGAATCTTTTCAGAACAATGACTTAGATCGACATTTATACCTATACCCAAGAAAAATTTGATGCTCACAGTTCAGATTAATTAGCCTAATAAGCCATTTTTTGAAAATTTTACTCAAAATTGTATATCAACGAATATACAGAGAAAGCGAAAAAACCTGAGCTTTGTATGGAACTTAGTACAAGGAAGGCATTATTTGTCTTCCAGATATTATACAAAAATGCCGAGATCAGCGAGAAGACGTGTTTCTCTGTTTTATCGACTACGAAAAACGTTTGATCAAGTAAAACACACCGAACTCATAGAAACCCTTACACAACATGGTGTAGACCATAACACTGTAGCACTTATTAAAAAACTATACAGGGATCAAATGGCGTCGATCAAAATAGACAATCGTCTGACAGTAGAATTATCAATAAAAAGAGGAGTTTGTCAATATATATTCAAAAAAGATCTTTTAAAATGCCCTCGAAATCATTGAAGAAGGAATAAAAACCAACGGAGAATACGTAGGTAAACAACTTAAGAGACGCAGACGACACCGTCATTCCTGCGGAGAGTGCTGAGGGTTAACAACGAATTTTGAATGTCATAACTAGAGAGGAAGATAGCTAGATAGGGAGCTAAACTGTGTTGTGAATGCAGTTACCAGAATGAGTGAAATTGAAATACCTGGCTAAGAATGACTATAAGTTCTATAATCAAAAGGTGTTAGATTTTAGTTAGAAAGACCATTTTCTTGTTATGTTAAGGTAAAATATTTTGAATTAGGTTTCTGGTTTTTTAGAAAATGTTTGTTAAATATTTTTAAACATTTTTAATATTTTTTTCTTTTGTATTACTACAATTAAGAGAGAGAACATAAAATGATTGATTTAATGATTCTTGTGTATTCAATAGTGACTAGACAGTCCCTGGAAATCATAAAATATTTACTTTTTTATTTATTTCTTCACAAAAAATCAATGGGTATCTGATACCCATATGTGAGGTGTATGTCAAAAAAATAGGTGTGATATTCCAGGATTAATATTCGTATCTATAACAAACATATAGAAGATTCCAGTATGTTGGTTGCTGGATAACAAACGATCTTAGTCACGAGGTCGAAATACGTGCTCGGTAGCAAATGAAAGCGTGCCCACAGGTCGATCTTTGTCGACCGACCAGTTGCAAGTCTTTCTTGGGATTATTTATGCAGTTTCCCTTCTTCGTGTTTTGGTGGGTAAGAACATTCTGCAGCTTTTCGTGTAGTTCATTAAAACTTGAAGAAGACTTTCTAAAGTAAATAAAAAATTTATCCTCGTTTTGACGGAGCACCTCATATAAGTTGTGGAATATTTCTGCGTCTGGCCTTTTTTTAATAATTGCATCCTTTCACCTGCAAATTTTATATAGCTTGCCTTATATATTTTATTTTTCTTTTTAACATATTAAGAGAGCAATTTTGTTATGTTCTTTAAAGTTCATTGGATTTAATGAAAACTATTTTACTTATATCAAAGCTTTATTGTCTGTTTTTGGTAATAGTAACGATAAAAGACTTCCAGCTGAAACAAAAAAAGAACATTGATACGTTTTTTAACTTTCAAATTAGTTATATAGTAAAGAGCGAAATAATGTAAAAAATAACTTTAAATTTTAAACGTTTATTGACATTTAAATATAGAATTACAAAGAATAAATATACAAATTTTGGTTTATTCAACATCGCGACTTAAAAAAAAGAAAAAAGTAATTAGCCTATATAAAGAACACAGTGAAGAAGTAATCAACGTGGTCATAGACATGTAATACAAATAGATTAAGCGCTGCAATACAGAACCGGTCCCCCAGTGCGACAGAGAAAACTGACGCAAAGCAGCTTATTCATCTCTTTCTAATGGTACAGGTTTAACAAATATGTATAACCGTCACATTCGTCATTTACGTTGCATCTTAAAAAATTTTCAAAGTCATCCAAGCACTCTCTAAGCTCGGTAGCAAAAAACTCAACGTTTGTCCCAAAAAGTAAAATATGGTTTATGCTGCTGCAGGAACCACTGAAGCATAGCGTGATATCAATATTCATGCTAAGATTGCATTCATGCATTTTTCTGTTCTTATAATATATCGTAGCCACAGTTGACTGAGACAGCCCCGTACGGCGCACGACATCCAAACGCCTTTTACCTTTCCGTATTGCCCAAGTTATCGATTACTTTTCACCCTCCAAGAGTACTTCTTGTACTCTTGGAGGGTGAAAAGGAATGGAGTATTGATCAACAACATACGATATGCTGATGATGGTGTCTTAATTTGTGACAACATAGTCGATCTTCAACAACTTGTCACTATAATCGGAGAATACAGTGAGCGAATGGGACTAGAGATTAATAGCAAAAAGACCAAATTCATGATCATCTTCAGAAACTTGGATGCATTTGAAAACTCCACCATAAAACTCAATAGTAAATCCATAGAAAGAGTGAGTAAATTTAAATACCTGGGATCGTGGCTTTTTGAAGACTGGGCATCGGACAAGAAAGTAAAATGTCGCATTGAGCAAGCTCGACAAGCTTTCGTAAAATTCAAGAAGGTACTGACTTGTTCTGAGTTCGATCTTCAACTGAGACTAAGGTTTACTAAGTGCTACGTATGGTCAGTGCTGCTATATGGCGTAGAGGGCTGGACACTCAAAACGAGGGATATAAACAGATTGGAAGCTTTCGAAATGTGGCTTTATCGCCGTATCCTAAAAATACCATGGACAGCGAAAATCACAAATATAGATGTCCTTAAAAGAATAAACTAAGAACGCCAACTTTTCGAAACCATCAAGAAAAGGAAAACGGCGTATCTAGGTCACATCATGCGAAATGAAAAATACCAGTTCCTCCAACTTATAATCGAGGGTAAAATTGAAGGCAAGAGAGGAATGGGACGCAAGAAAATGTCCTGGCTCCGAAACATAAGGCAATGGACAGGGATTAACGACATACAATCTCTGATACATATTGCAAGAAATAGAGAGTTAATGGAAAATGTGATCGCTAACATCCATTAGTGGATTTGCATCTGAAGAAGAAGAAGAGTACTTCATGTTTTTTTTTCGAAAACAGTTTAATTAGTCTGATACTGGGAGACAACTGGAACTGGAAGTGGGAAGTCGTGAATATATCTGAACGTAACATCATTAACACAGCAACTTGTCTTCAAGTTCTCGATAATTCTATAAAACCACAAAAATTAGCTGCCTGTTGATCAGTATTTTTCTCTTCTATATAATATATGCATTATTAAATTTCAGAAACCCAATATGGCAATTATTCTTTTTAGACACATTGTCCAGAAAATTGGTCTACCAGTTTGATACCAGATATCGTAAAACACATTAAGATAGGACGTCTGAGGTGGGTAGGCTATGTAATGCGGATGGAGCAAACCGACCCAGCTAGAAAAACGCTCCTTGATAGACCTATTGGTCAAAGAAAAAGAGGAAGACCCAGAACAAGATTCCTAGATAACATAGACCAAGATATGAGAAATATGGAAATACGTGCTTGGTGGAGGAAGGCGATGGATAGGGACGCCTGGAAGAGAATTCTTGGGGAGGCTAGGACCCACATAGGATTGTAAAGCCAAAATGATGATGATCTCTTGTCCCCTTTCATATTTATGTTTTTCTAAAGCTAGTCTTGCATTTAGCCTTTTTAGTATTTCTTTTATCAGATCACTGTTAAAAATACATTGCCAAACATTAATTAGACATTGATCTTATCGACTTTAAGAACTCGTCGAAAAGACTGACATGTTTTTATATAGACTTATGTCAAATGCATGAAGAGGAAAAAAGTATTTTAAAAGTTTGTAAAATATTAAGTTTTTTAGCTGAGCTCTACCGGCTTACAAATCCATTCTTAAAATTATGGTCAAAAATTCACAAAGTACCACTACTAAAGAGAGACTCTATTGGTGAAAAAAATTTCTTCAAAAGTTAAATTGAGTTTTCAAAAAAACTTGTAAAAATCAGCACATTAATTAAAAAACACATCAAAATTTTGGTATGGAGCGCAAGCACCCAACCATCTGGATTGAGTTGAGATGCCAGACAGATGTCAAATTTTCACAAGAATTTTCAACAACTCATTTTAACAATATATAATTTTATTAGCTCCATATGAATCTTAATTTCTTACCTGCCATAATACTTCCTACAACAAAGAACGGGGGTGCACATCCCAAATTCACAAGAAACGGAAATCCTAAATTACCAGTCAGTGCTCCAATTCGTGCAAATGCCATTACCAAAGATAATGTAAAAGCTCTGTAATGAAATAAAAAATTGTTAAAATAAATATTATTCTCAAGCCATTTTCTTTTTAATATAACTTACTTTTCTACTTAGAATTAACCGCTTCGAATCTATTTCCACTTGGGAAATCGTTCTTAAAATAAGATTTTTATTTTATTGATATCATTGTTTAATAAACAAAAATTCATTTAATGCCTATTTTAGTTAAAATGTATATCTTTTGAGCTTTACAGAATAGAGAAAATATAACAGAGAAACAATCAACCGACTTTTATTTTAACTATTAAATGAGCATTTACAACTTGACTGTATTATCCACCACCGGCCCCAATTCTTCAACAACAGCTATGTTTCAAACAGCACTCGTTCAGATTTTCTCCACCAATCAAATATCCGACTCGTTCAAAATTAAAAAACAGCAATCTTTAGACCCAAGGAGTTTTCTCCTCGACTTAGTGCCTCGTGCTAATATTATATAATTCTTTTCTTTACATACAGAAACTGGAAACTTCTAAAACACAAGTAGTTTGGAGTTCTCTGTCACCAAAAATAACTGCACCCACAAATACACTTTTTAACACAACTTTTGACTGGACTCTTTGATCTCAATGCTATAGTGTATTTTTATGTATGAGAGAGTAATAAAACAATAAATTATGTATGCAAATCCCTAAACTGTTGATACGGGTGACTCAATGAAATACAGATATTTGTCAACAAGGTTACAGAAGTATATAGGAAAACAATTTTAAATCGAGTATGACCAACAGGTATAAAGGTTGGAGCAGAATAGAATACAATAGTTGTGAGGGTTACTAATCCCTAAATAAGGTTGCCAGTGTCGGAGTGATGGAGGTTAACAGGTACTAATGAATTTGCAAGAAATGTAAGATGTTTATTTTATTGGTTATATATAACCAAAAAAAGTTTAATAAGTACCTACCTATTTGCAAAATAAAGTTTCTTTCTTTAGATAAAATAAAACGTTTTATTTTATCTGAAATGAGTGCATTCTACGAAGTAAGGGTTTCAACAATCAAACATTTAATTCTTTAATTCCAGGAATCTACGACAGTAATTGACTAGATAATTACCTTCTAAACTTATTCCACAGAAAATGTGATAGTGGGTTTTTCCATTTTGTAGGAAGGTCCAAGTGGCGTATTCAAAATTCTTAACAGGTTACTAAAAGTAGGTACTTCAGTTGCAAGGTGCAGTTTATTGTGTATACTAGTGTTATGGAAAATTTGGAAGTGCCGTGTAAACGCCGAAAAATTGGTCCTTTAACAGTTAATGAAAAAACATTAATATTTAATCGTTTTAAATCATTTACAGACAAACGTTTATGTGAAAGTGTTGATGAGACCGTTGAGTTAGTTAGCAGTACACTTGGTGTTGGGAAATCTACAATTTACAGAGGTATTAAAGAAGAGAAATGTGGTAGTTTTCAAATGCCACGTAATGCTCCAGGGAAACCAAAATTTCAAATAGAATATAATTTTTTTTAAAGGACTTCGACGGAAAGTGCATGAATTCTTCTTTAGACAAGAATTTCCAACATTGGATAAAGTTCTTGTCTCAGTTCGAGATGATAAGGATTACCCAGAAATGAGTCGAAGTACGTTATGAAAACTTTTAAAAGAAATAGGCTTCCGCTGGAAAAAGAATCCCAGAAAGTCTATTTTATTAGAAAGAAGCGATATTGTCATATGGAGAAGATATTTTCTAAGAACCATAAAGGAAATAAGAAACCAAAAAAGAAAAATATTTTATCTTGATGAAACATGGATCAACGACGGTCATACACCAAATAAATTTTGGCAGGATGAAACTGTTACAAGTCAAAGGCACGCTTTTGTAAATAATTTATCTACTGGTTTAAACCCACCATCAGGAAAGGGACGCAGGCTGATAATAGTACACATTGGCAGTTCAAACGGTTTTGTTGAAGGTGGTTTATTAACTTTTGAATCAACTCGTACCGGTGACTACCATGAAGACATGAACGCTGATGTCTTTCAAGAATGGTTCGAACAAATGATAGATCTTCTTCCTAAGAACTGGGTAATAGTAATGGATAATGCAAGTTATCACTCCAGACTTATAGAAGGACTGCCCACAACCAAGTGGTTAAAAAAAGACTTGCAGAACCATCCCGGATTATAAGAAAGGAACTTTATTCGTTGTGTGCCCTTCATAAAGAAAAATTTAAAAAATACGAAATTGATGAACTTGTCAAAAATCGTGGAATGACAGTACTTAGATCCCCACCATATCATTGTGAATTAAACCCGATTGAACTGGTATGGGCACAGATAAAGAGTGAAATTTCAAGAAAAAATACCACTTTTAAAATTCATGATGTTAAACAATTATTTTTGGAGGCCGTAAATAATGTAAAACCTGAAAACTGGGAAAAGGCAGTAAATCACACTATTAAAGAAGAGGAAAAAATGTGGTAGCTGGACAATATTACTGATAAAATGATCGAGCCAGTTATTATAAATCTTGGTTCTGAAAGTTCATCTTCTGAATCTGATTTGGATTTGTAACAAGTAGCTGTAAGTTTTATATTAATATTTTTATTCATCTATTTAACATACCTTAGACGGTTTTAAAAACTCTTTTTCTCTTTTGTAATTTTTAAAAATTAAAAAAAATGTAAATTTTTTAAAACCCTTTTTACTGTAGGCCAGTCAGTTCTAATATAGTGTGTGATAAAAGAGGTCACTTTTGTTTACATACACATAACACTTTATAACACTGAAATAATTCATTTATTTTTTACAATTATTCAATAATTTTTCAATTAATCTTGAGCACGCCCATGGAGTGGTCGGAGGTACCAGTTAAAATTATGCTAATTACTCTCTCGTTCATAAAAATAAACTATAAAAACACAATGCTCCAAAACCTTTCGTTCAAAATCTTCATCGACTCCTATTTTCCTCCCACCTTTACCTACTGCCAATCAAATAGCACCATTCATCTATTCTACTATTTTCTAAAAATCCCTACTTTATTTACTATTAAATATCCACGTTAGCGATCACAGCTTGGGTTTTCCAAATTTGTAGGAGACAGTCAAATTAGAAAATTTAGCTTTTATTTAAGCAATGATTCTTATCTCAAAATAAACATTCAAACTGTATAACTATTGTTATTCGAAAAAAAAAAAACTATTATTTCTGATAAACCCGATGCATTGTCTGTTTAAAACTGAAAGTTTTATGATCCATTGTTAAATGTTCTGGTCTAATAAGTTATAGTTTTCCAAACAATTTACCTAAGTTTCTATCGATTATCAACACCTATTCTTAGACCGCAATAATAATAAATTTATTATTAAGAACTAAATAGAAAATGATTATAGAGATTACGAAGCAGAGGAGCAAGCTGGTTTTAGAGCTGGGCGACCCACAGTAGACCACTTGTACTTTAATACGCAAGTTATTGAGAAAAACAGCCGTCAATAAAGAAGCTCACTTGGTGTATGTAGACTTACAAAAAGCATATGACAGTGTACCCCTCAGTAGACTATGGTCAACCCTACAGTAAACCAACATTAAGCATGGTCTTATCAAAGCAGTCCAAAGTCTGTATAATGAAACGACTGCAAAAATTAAAACTGGATTAAGGATATCTGAGGCATTTAAGCTCACGAAAGGACTAAAGTAGGGTTGCTGTGTTTCGCCTACCCTTTTTAAAATTTATCTGGAACAAGCACTCTGTGGAAAAGAAAATGTAATGGCACGGGAATTCCTCTCAGTGACGAGACTACATTGTATACCTTATGTTTCGCTGATGACCAAATACCGACTGCTCAGAATCATGACGACTTGAGTTGCATGACTCGGAAGCTAATAGAAGAATATAACAAATAGGGTCTCAAAGCCAACGTTAAAAAACTAAAGCCGTGTGTATCGGAGGGACAAAGCAGTCCATTATATTAGACTATGGGGTAGAAATTAGACACTGTGATAAATACAAATACCTGGGTATGAAGATAACTCAAGATGGAACACTCGATGCTGCTATAAAAGAAAGAAACATACAGGGTAGAAAAGCCATATCCATGATGAACGGCATTCTGTGGTACCAAATAATGTCTAAAGCGAACAAACAACTCATATACAACACCATACTTAAAAGTGTAATCACATGTGGCAGTGAAGTTTGGTCAATAAAACTATTACTAGCAACGGAAATGGACTTCTGGAAAAGAGCAGCAGGCAAATCAAGTAGAGATCGGATACCATCTAAGAGAATACGAGAAATGATGGGAGTCAAGCATACAATAGTTGATGACATAAAAACAAAACAGTTAGTATGGTAGACTATATACAGAGAATGCCAGATGACAGGATTACGAAACAGATTTTGACGTGGACACCAAAAGGCAGAAGGAAAAGAGGAAGGCCGAGAAGATGCTGGAGAGAGGGAATTAAACAAGAACTAAAGGAAAGAGAAATCCCTCCAGACCTATGGCTAAATAGAGAAGAATGGCGGTTAGGAGTCGGATGGCGTGGGAGACCGCTGTAAACCCATAGTAGTAGTAATTCTTAGAACGCACTTCTTGAAACTAAATAATTACATTTACAAAAATTTCATATAGGTACAGGGCATTGATATATTCCCGTGGTCTTTCACATGAGAAAAATTATTTAATTTTTAAATTAATTTTGAACTACAACAATATATACCAAATCGGTATAAACATAAGCGGAAAGATTCTTGTTAATTTCCTGCATAACATCTAGGCGGAAAAAAGATCAAACAAAAGTGCAATTGTTTTATTAAAAAAAGACTAAAAATGTTTATATTATTAATCTCAGAGACGCAAAGATATAAGGAATCGTTTTCGGTATTTTATTATATATTAGGTAAAACGAAAATGCTACAGTTTTATTCTTACCTTAGATTTGTTGGAAAGTGATCTACTACAACTGATTGAATGACATTTCCTGCTATGTTGCCAAGGGCTATAAAACCTGCAATCAAAAAGGTTGTCACTTCCACACTTTGCGCAAAATAGAGTCCCATACTACAACTTGCAGCTACGAAAGCGTAGGAAACTAAAATTGTATAAAATATAAACATAAGTAGTGATACTAATATTACAATTACATATAAAAAATGTATATAAACATAATTAATACTTATTTTTTATAGATACACTAGAATTACATCAACCAAATTACTGAAAGAATTTTCATAGTATATTTCGTTTCATTATTGTTTTTTAGAAATCGGTGAAACTAAAAGCGAAGAATAATTTCTCGGATTTCCATATTCGTAATGATATAATCTCGTCAAATGTGACCTACTTAAAATAAATAGATATTATAAAGTATATAATTGTTTTAACTTATGTAAATATATTTTTTTTCCTTACATATCACTGGTTTCTTCCCCAACAGATTAATAACACTTATTGTGACAAAATATCCCGCAATGGCTGAACTGGATACAATAATTGAGTTTGTATAAACTCCTGGGTTTCCTACATTCTGAAATAAAAACATATATCATGAATGTGTTGCTTGTGCGAGTCCATTTCAAATAGGTAAAGAAATAATAAATAAGACTTACTCACAATCAATTTAATTTAACGATCAGACGACCGGTTTCGCTTTCTACAATATGCAAAGCATCTTCAGGTCTCGATACAAATTTAAATAAATGCTGAAATAATAATAAACCCATATTCGGATGTTTGAAAAACCACAGACATGTAATATTGGCATAATTATTGCAATTTTATAACATCTACTTTGTTTATGTTTATTAGACAACACCCTAATATAAGTTTATTATTATTTTAGCATTTATTTACCTTTGTATCGAGACCTGAAGATGCTTTGCATATTGTAGAAAGAGAAACCGGTCGTCTGATAGTTAAATTAAATTGATTGTGAGTAAGTATTATTTATTATTTTATTTACCTATTTAAAAACATATATATATATATATATATATATATATATATATATATATATATATATATATATATATATATATATATATATACATATCAGAACTCGATAATCGTTCTTAAAATACAAACAGTAATATGTTACACAAATTTTGACATATTCAGACATATATACATTTTAAAGTAGACGACGTTAAAATGATATTCATGTTTACGACATCCTGTGCTTTTGCCGCAAACATAAATACGGGCAGTTTCACCATATTTCCTAATTATATTAAACACAGTAGTTGTTGCTACAGTCAATTCACTGCAAATCAACATTTTCTCTTCATGGTACTGATTAATAATCACTTCGCGAACTTTTTGATCAGGTTTTCCATGTGCCAGTATTCCGCAAAAATAATTCCAGACATCATAAAAAATATTGTTAATTACGTAATTACAACTAAAAAATAAATAGATAAAAGAATTTTGATAAATCGGCAATATATTCCCAAAATAACTGCTTGTTCGAATATATAGTTGTTCAGTTGAACTCAATATACTTTCGAGTATATTGAGTTCCTGTACTCTATTATCATAGTTTTGGTTGACATGCTCCTAGTGTTCGTGATCCTTATATAAATCCTACCAGTATAATCTCCAAATCTCTGTGGAAATGCAGATGAAACTAGATCCAGCAATGCAACAAAACAAGTTATGGTTATTGACCTTCAAAAAACTTTACCTCCACCTATTTTATCCACTGGTGTAGTATATTACAAGCGACAACTCTGTGTGTACAATCTCGGTATTAATGATGAGGTAAGTAATGGTGGCCACATGCACGTTTGGGGCGAACACACAGCTTCCAGAGGAGCCCAAATCGCAACATTAAAGTTATATTGGCACTGAGTTATATTTTGCAAAACTCGGAGATTGAAAAAATAGATTTAAGATTTTGGTGTAATAGAAATAGAGAAAAAGTATCATTCTTAAATTTTGCATTCAAATAATTGGTTGAATGTAAATCACTTTTTTACTACAAAAAGCTAAATATCGGTAGAGAAAGAAAAAGTAGAATCGCTTAAAATCAGATAAATACAACTACGCAAAAAGGAGCCTAAGACCATGTATGACGAATACAATTTTGCCGAAAATGATGATCTCTTTTGTAAACTTGATTTAACAAAAAAAAGTAAGCCGTGGCAGACCTGTAATTATTAATTTGCCCGTTGAACTACTATTGTTTTATCCTCATGGACGACACATTGCAAAGGGAAAACGGAAGGTTTAATTGATCTTCTTAAATATATACCTCCAGAACATCACAATTTTCATAGATCGCCGATCGCTTTAATTAGGGACCATTGATGAACCAACTGAAGATTCTTTAGTTGAGTCTGACGTTGAAAATAAGTAATAAAATAATTTATCAACCAATTTTATCGTTGCCTATCCAACAACGATATTACTTATTTTAAAGGTAGTATTAGCGCCAAAGTTGCCTACAAGTTCTTCTTAAAAGTATGATTCATGTGTTCATGTATAATTTTTCTTTGTTTAACTTTTAGTTAAAGTATTATCTTGTTCATCTACGAAACATATTAAAATGTTTCCACTTCGAGAGTTGTTTTTATTATCACCAATTTACAGCGGCTTAGGCAAGTATGGATCTGAGCCACTTAACTATCCTGTGGTCCTATTTACCCATAAGATGTTTTTCCTTAGCCATCTGGATTTGCCATTTCGATATTTAGAATTAATCCACCCCCTTCTGTCCCGTGTTCAGTGATGATACACTGAGGTTTACAGTCTCAGATCGGCAGTTAGAGTAGTATTCTTCTTCTTCTTTTGGTATCATAACCCTGGATGGGTCTTTGCCTATCTGGCTATGTCCTTTCGTTCAGATCTCTCTTGTGCCCTTCTTCTCCATTGTCTTATATTCATTGTTTTCAGGTCGTCTTCCACGTCATCCAACCATCTCGTTCTGGGCCTTCCTATTTTCCGCCTTTCTATGGGCTTCCATTGTAATATTTTCTTTGTTGTTTTTGCATCGTTTTGTCTCTGCACATGTCCCAGCCATGACAGTGTTTGACTTTTCACAAATCCTACAATGTCATAACCTTCATTTAACTCATTAACCTCGTCGTTTTTTCTGATTCTCCATGTGCCACCTTCCTCTTGTACCGGGCCATATACTTTCCTCAGTATTATTCTCTCGAATGTCCTGAGTTGTGCTTCATCTTGTTTCGTCATTACCCAAGTTTCACATCCATAGGTTACTACGGGTCTAATCAGTGTTCTGTAGATAGTCATTTTGGTTCTTTTGTCTAATAATTTCGATGTCATCAATCTTTTATTAGCATAGTATGTACGATTTTCGCTGGAAATACGTGCATTAATTTCGCTACTTACGGAGCTCTTCTGATTGATTTCTGTGCCGAGATATGTAAAGGCATCCACTCGTTCGATAGTATACTTGTCTATTGTGATATTATTTTCATTGTCAGTTATTCTTTTGACTGTCATATACTTCGTTTTTGCTTCGTTTTTTTTGAGGCCTCTTTTTCTTGCTTCAGGATCAATTTGTTTAAACACTTCCATTAGTCGTGGCTTATTCCTACTAATGATAGCTACATCGTCTGCATATGCAGTAATTTGTACTGATTTGGTGTTTATATGGCCGGTTATATTGGTTTTTTTGATGACTGCCTTAAGAACTAGGTTGAATAGCATGGTTGATAGGGCATCTCCCTGTCTTACTCCCATAATGATGTTAAACAGGGGAGTCAGTTCTTCATCTACTCTGACTGCGGCTTTTGAACCCTGCAACGTCATTTTTATGAGGCTGATGTATTTCTTAGGTATACTTAGATTACAAAGGTCTTCCAGCATTCTGTCTCTTTTCACACTATCAAAAGCTTGTTTAAAGTCTATATACATATTATATAGGTCTACGTCATATTCATAAGCTTTTTCTTAATAACCTGAAAAAGGATTAGTATTTTCCAAATTATCGGTTTGACTTATTTGAAAATTCCGAAAGTTGAGACAAATACCCTTCTCAGGTAGTTTTTACCAATGAAAAAAAAAGTCGAAGGTATTGGACATGTAAACATATCCTTTAAATACGTCGAGGGGTTCAGGGGGGAGGTTTCTGAATATTTAGAAATAATTACGAGCGTAGTGATTGAAGGGAGAGAGTGGACGTCAGTTCGCAGTTCAAATCAGTATCAGTTCAAAATTCCAGCATTGGATGAGTACTACCGCGCTAGCCGCACCTCAGATGTTTTAACACAGTCGTGATATTAATAGGTTTATCCATTTCGTGTCAATATTGTATCACCGACAAGTTATATAGTTTTGTAGTTTCATAAAGTTTAGTTTCATAAATCAGCTATCGTATGCAAGGTATCGGCGTACAAAATACGTTATAATTCAAATCATGAATGTGTTGCTTGTGTGAGTCCATATCAATTAGGTAAAGAAATAATAATAAGACTTACTCACAATCAATTTAATTTAACAATCAGACGACCGGTTTCGCTTTCTACAATTTGCAAAGCATCTTCAGGTCTAGATACAAAGTTAAACTAATGCTGCAATAAAATAAACCCAATTAGGGTGGTGTCTAATAAAGATAAAATAAACAAATAAGTTAGTTCATACAAATTATAGTAATTATGCCAATATTACATGTCTGTGGTTTTCAAAATGAATAAATTTGAATATATAAAAGGTATTAACAGACAAGGTAAGACCCACAATTGGTATAAAGTAGTAATATTATATTGTAATAAATTAATAAATGAGCAGATAAATAAAACAATGTTAAACAAAACAAACATAAAGTAATGTTTGTTTTGTTTTATTTATCTGCTCATTTATTAATTTATTACAATATAATATTACTACTTTATACCAATTGTGGGTCTTACCTTGTCTGTTAATACCTTTTATATATTCAAATTTATTCATTTTGAAAACCACAGACATGTAATATTGGCATAATTACTATAATTTGTATGAACTAACTTATTTGTTTATTTTATCTTTATTAGACACCACCCTAATTGGGTTTATTTTATTGCAGCATTAGTTTAACTTTGTATCTAGACCTGAAGATGCTTTGCAAATTGTAGAAAGCGAAACCGGTCGTCTGATTGTTAAATTAAATTGATTGTGAGTAAGTCTTATTATTATTTCTTTACCTATACGTTATAATTGTTTAAATAGACTTGTTAAAACGTTCTTTTCGAATCTTACATTTATCCCACTTTTATAGGTGGTCCTTCAAACGACTATATAAAGTGTACCTATTTCCCTAAGGAAAAACCTTGATCCCCAAGGGAAAAAACCAGCGACCTATGACTGGTGCGCGAAACGAAGCCATCAGGACAAGGTGTAAGGACAAACACACCTGCATCTTCGCTCAAAGTTTTTAATATATGCTAGAAGAAACTACACAAAACTAATAATGCCTTTACATTTAATATTTTTAATTATTTTTCCAAAATATTTCTTTTTATCAAAATAATTAAAATATTACTTTTAGTTTGATTATTTATCTTTATTTAATTAATTTGCATTCTAAAATTTATGTCACAACAATTTAATTTTTTTGATTGTCGAAAACTCTCTTGTGTATGATGACAATAGCCTACTTTGATGTTTAAAACCCGATATCATGGATATGGTATTGCTAAATCGGAATTTGAACATTTTATCAAAATGCATACCTTTGTTAGACGTATTAAATATTGTGATGAATGTGATACGGGATTATCAGTTTGACGTGTTTTAAGGTGGTCATATTTCAGTGGCTAAATTTTAAATTGTTTACATTCCGTAGTTGTATTTTATTATTATATTCGATGTTTATTCCAGTTTTTTTGAAATTTCTACTTTACTTAATGACTTTTTTTAATACGATATGCTTCGTAAGTGTCGAGTCTAACTACCAACTGCTAATATGGCACTATACCCAATTTAACACGTTAAGCGCCAGGGCAAATTCTGGAATACAGCCCTTCAGGCCAGTTTGTAAAATTGGTTTTATTTTGTTGGTGGTGGTTTTGTCTAGTAAAATATGGTTTCAATATGTATTTCTTTAATACTTAATTCATAAATTTAAATAATATATGTCGGTCACTTTGCTTTGTCTCTTCAGACCGGGCAGACAATTTTCGGTTGGTCATGCTGCAGAAAGTGGTTCAATAATGTGTTAAGGATCCACGATTTCATAAACACTCATTGACACTCCTAGGTATCGTTTTGATAAGATGGTCAATATCCTGTTGGGATATCTCATTCCAGGCTACTACAACTTTATAAGTAAGAGCTGCTAATGTCTTAAGAGAGCTAAAAGTTAGCCAACGACTCTCTAGTAAAGTCCATCTCCAACAATTAAAATATTTTGGGCATGTTATGAAAGCAAACACAAAAAACATGGAAAGACTCATAATACAAGGAAAGGTAGAAGGCCGAAGATCACGAGGAAGATCCCCAACAAGATGGATAGATCAAATTACAGGAATATGCCAAAGACCTATGCATGAATTAAAAGAAATGACCAGAGACAGAGATCTCTGGAGACGGACAATACACAACATCATGTCGACCACTACACTCCCCCTGGGGGGTCAGGATTGAAGAGAGAGAGCTAATGTCTGTGGATGCTCTTACAAATTCAAAGGACTGCGACTAATCACATTTTAGACATGTTTAATTGGTAACAGATCAGGCAATTTTGGTGGCTAAATTGATGTAATGTTAATCCATGAAGGCTAACAATGTGGGTCTATCATTTCATTGCTGAAAAATCGAGTTTTGAACAATGTTTAGTAATGGAATAACTGTATCTTATTTTCTACTATAATCATTAGTAAGCGATCTCGATTTGCGTCCACAATAACTAGCACTTCATACAATAACGTCCTCATTGGGTGAAAATGCCGCTCTCTGTCAAAGTGTGTCGACGTTTTTCATCACGTCGACTTCTCACTCTTGCCCGACCATCAGGCATCCTAAGACAGAAGCAGAATTCGTTACTTAAAACCACTTAATTCCAATGCGGGTCCCGTAAAATTCTTTCTCTATACCAGAACAAACCTTTTAGGAAACGATATTCAGCTATGAGAGGTAGCACCCAATGTGAGCAATAAGAAAAAAAATACCAAACTGTTATATGCAGCAATATAGTGTACGCATATCAACGATCTTCATGCTCTTCAAACCACTGATCTGTGATAACTCGATTACTACTAAATCTGTCTATTAGAGCCTGTGGTCTTAATTGACGATCTTGTTATCGTTCTCTGGTTCCATTGTCGCTTCCAGAACCCCTTGCTTGGTGTAATCAATCTTTCTTGGAATCCACGCTCGTTCATACTGCAGCATACTGCGTAAAGATTTGTTGGTTCTTCCAGAAATTTCTCTCATCAATAAACTGACTTGACGCAACCCAACAATTCGACCCTTCTTAAAGTTAATGAGCTGTGACGCTCGGCGAATTCTACGCACTCTATGCATTTTAAGCTTGTAAATAAGCTACATGATATTTAAAATTTAACTGACTTCGTAAACCTCTCGAAAACAGAATGTTTTTAAAGGTCTGGCCCGTCAGAACCAAAATGTGTTATTGCCGACGCCGGTCGCTTATGACCGCTACGGCCTTTTTGGTAGATTTAGTGTCGATAGATCACCATACATGACTGCTTTGGTCGTCAATGTATTAAGATTTTTTTGTGTGATATTAATACCTAAACATATGTCCAAATACTTGATTTTCTAAGGTAAACCTGTCTGATTGTTATATTATGTATAGAAAAATATACGAACCGTTGCACAAGTACTATCATTTTTGGGCTTAAGAACATCCATCATGGAACATAAATCTGCAGTGGTTCCATTATTAACAAGTTTATAATCTTCAATAGCTTGAAATAATTGTGGACTCCATAACCTTAACATGTTCATACTAAAAAAAGTACATGGAGCATGTATTAATTTAAATCCATAAATGTATACAATATTTTTAAAGTAATATCAACTATTTTAGTTTTAATTATAGTTTATTCGTCTTCCGGGTTTGGACCGTGTCATTTGTGAGTGACCCAGAAGTGGGTTCATCTCGACGTTTCGCTACAATTGTATGTAGCTTCTTCAGGAGAACAAAGAAAAAGAAATCAAAAGACAGGAAGATGGGTATTTGGAAGGACCTTGTTCATGTGGACATGTGTATATTGGCGAAACTGGTCGTTCCGTCAAAACTCGGATTCAAGAGCATCAAAGATGCATTCGATCAGGTCTTTTCTCCCATTCTACAGTTGCAGAACACTGCCAAAAAACCGGCCATTCCATATTGTTCGAAAAAACCCATATTATTTCTAAGAGCCCCTTCTTTTATTCCAGGAAAATCCGCGAATCTCTAGAGATCCGAAAAAATCCACATAATATCAATCGAGAGGAAGGATACTACTTGTCTCCCATCTGGAATCTCAGTCTAGAGCCGCCGTCCGGTCCCGCTACCACGATGCAACCACATGATTGGCCAGCGCGAGCTTCTTGAAGTTCGCTCCACGGAGTGTGCCGATACGTCCCGACACGACAGGTCACCGCGACTATAAATAGAGCAGTAGCGGAGTAATCGTCGGATTTACTCCCCGCCTCTCGACGCGTTAGTGTTCTGAGCTGTTGGACGTGAATCTCTGTCCTGGCATTTGGTTTTCACCTCTGGCTGCGATAAGTATTTGAGTTACTGTGACTAAATGCCCATCTTGGTAGTTAGTATTCGCCTCTGGTTGCGTTGAGTAACTGAGTTACCGTTGCTAACTACCCATCTTCCTGTCTTTTGAATTCTTTTTCTTTGTTCTCCTGAAGAAGCTACATACAATTGTAGCGAAACGTCGAGATGAACCCACTTTTGGGTCACTCACAAATGACACAGTCCAAACCCGGAAGACGAATAAACTATAATTCTGACTCTGGCCGTGGAAGCCTACGATTTAATTTTAGTTTTAGTTTAAGATTTAAAAGTTCCTACAAATACCTGTGATGATTTTTGTGGTAATTCAGATATAGCCTATTAAATGTTTTTGTAGTCAAAACCGTAACGAATGTAGAGGTCTATTGGATGAATGAAGATAACATTTTAGTTGTTTGTATTCTTATTCTTTATGTAATATTTTATTTATGAACTTAGTAACTATCTATTTATTAAAACATTTATTTACCATTACCTTTGAACTGTAGAAAATTGCACTATACAGAGCAGTGCAAATTTAGATAAATATGGAGCCTTAAAAAGTGGAAATAAATTTGAAAATTCTTCCGTCATTGCATTTTTTATAGATTTATGTTTGTGCGATTCGTCAGTCTCTTGCAATAATTCTTTTACCTGCAAATAAAAATTTTAATTTGTAAACGTCGGCCAAGATGCACATTTAGTTTAAAATATTACTCCAGTAAGAGGCGACTATTAAATAAAAAATACTCTCAATACCAGCAAAAATAAGAGTGTATAAGACAATAATTCGTCCCACAATAACGTATGGAAGCGAGACATAGACTCTGAACCAGCGGGAAACGACAAAATTACTGGTACTGGAAAGAAAGATAGTGCGGACTATCTATGGGCCTTGAAGAGAACAGACAACAGGGGAATGAAGAAGATACAATAATCAACACTAGATAGTATTTGGAGATGAAAACATAGTACGCTACATTAAATCAAACCAAATCAGATATGCAGGCGACGCGACGTGCTAAGATCGAGTGACGAAACACTCCTGAACGCCACATTCTGGCAAAGGCCCGATGGCAGAAGGTCAGTTGGTAGCCCAAAAAATTAATGGAAGGACGCAGTAGCCAGTGATATACGCAAAATGGGAATACAGCTATGAGAAATAGCTGCTACGGACTGACAGTAATGTCAGTCTAGAGTTGAAGATCGAAATGATGATGATGATGATGATGATGCTAATGATTGTGATGATGATGATGTCAGAGACGAAAATGCCACTGAACCTCTAAAAACCATTAAAACCCTTACAATATCATTGTGACTCAAAAAAAAAATGCAAAACCCCCTGTCCTCGCCCTAAAAACCCCTTTTGTAGGAGAGTAAAAACGGAAAAAATGTTTAACAAAGAATCTGTACGCCACGCCGTATGAAAAACTATTTCTGCTGTTTCTCAGAGCGAAAATTTGAAGTTGGACAACGGTCAAGAAATTCTGCAATGTCAAGAATATGAATATTTAGGTATCACATTCGACAATATCGGAACAGATGTGAAAGAGATAGAAAAACGAATAGTTACAGCTAAAAAGATAATATAATGTCTAAATGGTATCTTGTGGAGCAAGGAGATAACAAAAAGGAAAAAATTTAATATATACGAGACAATGGTTAAGAGCAGCCTATTGTATGGAGCGGAAACATGGAGATTCCAGACAGACAAAAAAAGAAGGTAGAGGCAGTCGAAATGAACGCGATAAGAAGATCTATGCGAGTCTCATGAAGAGAAAGAATGAGGAATGACCATATAAAACAACGAATGGGAATAGAAGGTACGATAATTCAGGATATCGAAAAGAAACAACTTACCTGGTACGGACACGTAAAATGCAAAATACTAGATGGCCCAAAAAAATACTGAACTGGACCCCAATAGGGAATAGAAAGCGAGGAAAACTCAAACTAGAGTGGCAGCAAAACATAAAAAAGTCAATGAGCGAACGGAATCTATCAACGGAAGATTGCCACGATAGAAGAGGATGAAAGTTAGGTGTCGGACAACGGAGAAGGACGTTCTAAACCGGCATATATATAATAAAATATCTACCAATTAACTAAAATCAATATAAATACAATAATATTATCAAACTTATTATAAAATAATTCATTTTCGACGAAAAATCACAAATTTTTTATTTAAACTTTGAGGGTATACAAGGCAACTATCGAACACGGTGATTAATTTAATCTTGCCCAAGTACTTTCGATCAATAGATCATCTTCAGGGGCATTTCGTCAATTGTGGCCTATCCGACATAGTAGAATGTCATAAATGTAAAATCTGGACATAACAATACAAAATACACTACACTAAGACAAACAAACACTTTAAAATTTATATGGAGAAGCTACATATTGTGAAGAAGCCGGAGACAGAATAAATAATTTTGCTACATATTTAAAATTTATATGGAGAAGCTACATATTGTGAAGAAGCCGGATTCTGTCTCCGGCTTCTTCACAATATGTAGCTTCTCCATATAAATTTTAAAGTGTTTGTTTGTCTTAGTGTAGTGTATTTTGTATTGTTATGTCCAGATTTTACATTTATGACATTCTACTATGTCGGATAGGCCACAATTGACGAAATGCCCCTGAAGATGATCTATTGATCGAAAGTACTTGGGCAAGATTAAATTAATCACCGTGTTCGATAGTTGCCTTGTATACCCTCAAAGTTTAATTATTCGAACATTCAACCTTATATTGATTTAATTTTTTATTTGTTTCAAATATAAACTTCCTCTTTTCTCAAAACTTCATTCTTGTGACTTATATACTTTCATAAATAAGCGATTTATTTAAGCTTTAAATATACAATCTACATACCGGATAGGTCTCTGGTGGTTTTCCAGTATTGATGCTATATACTTTTTGAAGTATTTTCATCGCTTTCTCATTTTCTCCAATGGTCATTAAAAATTTTGGACTTTCAGGAAGAAAACAAAATATCACAGCACTGGCAAGTGGAAATAGTCCGCAAACAAACAGATATAAATTCCAAGAACGATAGTCTAAAAAATAATAAATTATAAGAAAAGTATACAAATAGTTCAAATATTGATTTCCGGTTTCTAATTCCGCTTACGTTGAGTGGAAACCTAGTCCTTACGAGGATCAACTGCTTGTTTCAAGATGGAAATGTATAATTAACGTCACATAATATCTCATCATCAGGATTAATAAAAGAACCACTCTGAAAGTGATCCAAGTGTACGCTCCGACCAAAAGCCACGACGATGAAGAAGTAGAAATATTTTATGATGAAATAAGAACAGCTATAGAAACAAATAAAGCAAATTACGAAATACTATTAGGAGATTTTAATGCTAAATTGGGCAAAAAAAAGGAAGATTATGAACATTTAATTGGTAACTATGGCTACGGGAAAAGAAACGATAGAGGAGAAATACTTCTCAATTTCATGAATGAACATAACATGTACTCAATGAACTCCTTTTTCAATAAAAAACCAAGCAGAAAATGGACATGGATGAGTCCCGATAAAAAGACAAAGAATGAAGTAGATTATATCTTAACGAAGAATAGAAACCTAGTAGAAGACGTATCAGTATTAAATTAGTTTGACCTAGGAAGCGATCATAGACTAATAAGAACAAAATTAGTAATTAACAAAAAACTAGAAAGAAAAAGAATACATGAAAAAAGATACAAATGGACATCTGAAGAAATCAAAAATAGTGAATTTAAAAACAAGATAGTGCATGCATTAAATCAAGTTAGCATGCAGCAGATAAACTCCAATGATATTGATGATTTGAATAACCTTATTACCGAAACAGTGAATAAAAGCCTTCTGCAACTGAAACTGAACAAACTGCAACTGAAAAAACCGAAAACAACATGCAATGAATTAGACAAATAAATATTACAACAAATAGAAAGAAGGAAGATCTTAAATAAATCTAACAAAAGGGGAATCGACGAATATAGAGAACTTAATAGGCAGATTAGAAAAGGAATCAGACAACAAAAAAGAAAAGAAAACGAAAAATTAATAACAACAACTATTGAAAAAAATAAGAGTATGAAATGTCTCAGACCAACACTAGGACGACGTCAGATGATATCATTAATAGGAAAAGACGAAAATGAAATCACAAGTAGAGAAAACATACTGACACGAATAGAAGAATTTTACACAGAACTTTACAGATCACATCAACAAGATGATGAGATGAGACCATCACGGAAATTAATAAAAAATGTTGGATCAGAAATATTGCCAAAAGTAACAATTTCAGAGGTAACTACAGCATTGGAAAACATGAAGAGAAATAAAGCTGCAGGAGAAGATAGTATTACCACATATATGATATTAGAAGGAGGTAAGGAACTAATTGCAATTGTAACTAAGCTTGTGGACAGTTGTTTACATCAGGACAAAGTCCCTAAGAGCTGGAACAACTTTAAAGTAATCTTATTGCACAAGAAAGGTGATAGTCGAAAATTGGAAAACTACAGACCCATCAGTCTACTGTCACACCTGTTTAAAATACTCACCAAAGTCATAACTACTCGACTAACAAGGAAATTAGACGAATACCAACCATATGAACAGGCAGGTTTTAGAAAAGGCTATTCAACTTCCGATCACCTGTTAACCACAAAAATATTAATAGAAAAATGTAACGAATACAAGTTTCCAGTTTTCCTTGCATTTGTAGACTACGAAAAAGCTTTCGATACCATAGAACACACGGCCGTAATAAACGCAATGCAAAATTGTAGAATAGACAGCAGATATATTAACTTAATAAAAGAAACTATGAACCAAGCTACAGCTACATACTACCTAAATGAAAATGAACACACGAACCCTGTACCATTAAACAGAGGAGTCAAACAGGGAGATACTTTATCACCCAAACTGTTCACCTTAGTTTTGGAGGACGTTTTTAAAAACCTAAATTGGAAATATAAGGGAATAAACATCAATGGCCGTTACCTCAGTAATCTACGATTTGCAGATGACATAATCCTGATAGCTACTGACCTACAAGAAATGCAAACCATGCTTGTAGAACTTCATACCGAATCTTCTAAAATAGGACTGAAAATGAATTTAAACAAAACAAAAGTCAAGCACTCCGAAGACACCGTGACAATAATAAACGATAAAGTTATAGAAAAAGTTGAAGAATATATATACTTGGGACAAAAAATAATCCTAAATAGGGAAATTCAGACTGAAGAAATAAAAAGAAGAAGAAAGTTAGCTTGGGCAGCATTCGGTAAACTGAACTATATACTCAGAAATCAACAAATTCAATTACAACTTAGATCTAAAGTTTTTGATGCATGCATTATTCCGGTATTAACTTATGCGGCACAAACATGGACAATCACAAAAAAAAATATGAATATACTTAGAGTCACTCAACACGCGATGGAAAGAGCACTGCTAGGTATATCACTTAAGGACAAGAAAACAAACACATGGATAAGACAGAAAACCAAAGTCACCGATGTGGTGCAAAAAGCATTAAAGCTGAAATGGGAATACGCTGGACATGTAGCTAGGAGCGATCTAAACAAATGGCACAGATCAATTTTAACCTGGAGACCATACCAACACAAAAGACCCAGAGGCAGACCTCCTATGAGATGGACAGATGATCTGAAAAGGACTACCGGGAAAAATTGGCTACAAGTAGCGTACAATAAAAACCAATGGAAAGGAAGACTTGAAGAGGCTTATGTTCAGATGTGGACGCGAATGGCTAGACGAAGAAGGAAACAAAAGATAAAAACAGTAGTTCGACAAATAAAATGTATAAGTGATTGACAAAGATAAAGTACAAATGCGACATTTCCATTAGATAACACATAAATTAAAATTTAATAACTTACAAATTAGTCCATTAAAAAGTGACCAGTCCACTGGTAATGGTAAAATTCCCCATGCTAATAACGGCAATACTAGCTGACCTACACCCACTAGTGCTCCTTTGACTAATTGTATTTTTGATCTGTACTGAGCTGAGTGAAATTCGCCCAAATAAGTAGTCATCGCAGCAAAAGGTCCGTTAATGCTAAAATCAGAATTAATAATTAACATTATATATATATATATATATATATATATATATATATTATATATATATATATATAAGAATCACTCAGACGAGTGGTGGGTTCTTATAGCGCTCTCAAGGTGGAGAAATAAAAGACAAAGTTGATAGGCTACTTTATCTATTTTGAAGACGTTTCGCTTTCGAGTTTTGAAAGCATCATCAGGTTATCTAAAAAGTACAATATGAGAACCACACAATCATGGAAACGATGTTAATTGTTACCTTAAAAAGACATGCAGCAGTCAAAGTTATTTACAATAATGTGAATGAAACTTAAGTAAATGGACATAATACGCTGATATTGTATAAACAATCAAGTAACTAACAACATATAGGAACTTATAAAAAATTAGCACAGCAAATGACCATGTGGTCTAAAGTAAATGAAATGTTATTTAATATTAATTAGTGAAAAAGAACCAAGAAAATCATAGACAACTTCCAACTATTTAATGATTATTAAGCTTTGATTTTAACTTTAGGTAGCATTATAAGTGATATTAATAAAAATTATTAATTTAAAAAAGTAGTGTAAATGAAGTTACCGATCAAAGCCCTACAGTTGTCGCCGGAAAAATGGCGTTAGATGAACCAGAACGAACTAAACCGCAAAAAGACAGCCAACCTTGAGGTCAAAAATACTTTTGACAGATCAGCAAGGTGGAGGTACCAACCCAAATAATTGGGCGGTCAATTTAAAAGTTTTTATTGAGTTTGGATGGCTACCCAGTTGCAAAAGACAAACCAGTGAAAGAAATTGGTATTGTAATAGCAATTCCTCTGGTTAACGATAAATTAACTTCCAACAGCCCAAGGTTCATACACTTGGAACTGTAGTTTGCAAAGGATTCTATGAATCAATTACAATATTTGTATTATGTTATTTAAGTAAAAGAAATGTTCACACTAATCTAAGTAATCAGTGTATGAAAACGCAATGTAAGTTGCATATGTTATAACAACCGGTTCTTGTCACCTCATTATTTCTTTTCTCTACTAAATCTCTTGCTACTTTCATTTATTTAATTATTTGTTTTTATTTTTTCCATTTCTCTTTCCATATCTTGATTTACTTTGTTTTTTCTTTGTTTTTTCTTGGCATGTCTTTTTACTTTCTTTTAAGGACTCTGTTTTTGATATAAAACTTACCAGCAATTCTCTGTAACGCTTTTATTTAAATATTTACTTAATAAATGGTAAAATACTTCCTTATTGTATCTGGTAAATGGTGATGTCTTATTAACAAATATATCAATTGTAGTTAAAAAAGTTTTAAAACTAAATAATACTTACATAACGCCCCCAAAAAATTTGCTAATTATCAACATTTCAATATTTTGTGAAAAGGAACTCAGAAAAACAACAATTGCATCCAACAAATAACCATAGATCATAAATTTTCTACGTCCAAATGTATCCAGGAGAAAACCCCATATAAATGATGTTGAAATCATTCCTAGTCAAAAGAAAAATTAGTTTAATTCTTATAAAAAATTAGTGCTTGAACAAAAATTGTAGTTCTTGTTTTTTTTTTTGTATATTTATGTATACAAAAATTATGGTTCAAAATTTTTTAAGTTTGATCAGCACAATTTTTTTTGTTAATCTAGAAGCAAAATAATATTTTATTAACGAAACGTTGCTTAAAATTTGTCGCATGGGTTTTTCGCTTATATACGAAGAGGTATAGTACCTTTTTTGGTTTGGATTCGATAGCAATTGATCTTTGGCGTTGAAGTAGGTATGTAGACAAGAAGCATTAGACGAGAAGAAGAACACCATATCAATCGTAAAAGAAAACCTTGGATTTCCATAAATTTAAAAGGGAAATGTATGAAGAATTTCACTACCTTCCTTGTAATTTGCTCAAAGATAAACAATTTGTTTCCTGTATTAATATAAAATAAACGCAGAAAAATTTACTGAGTTTGTCGCTTTCTTGCAACCAAATATACAGCGGCAGCGTATAAAATTTCCTCATACAATCGGTGTTGATGAAATTCTCTCCATGTTTTAAAGGTAGGTAAATAATTAAGTAATAAAACTTTGAGGGTATACAAGGCAACTATCGAACACGGTGATTAATTTAATCTTGCCCAAGTACTTTCAATCAATAGATCATCTTCAGGGGCATCTGAAATAAGCCAAGAAACGTTTTTTATAAACAGGAAAATTAATTCACTTGGATAAAAAACTCCAAGTTTATGGTTGAAAAAAATTTTTATATGTGATAAACGTTTATAAACTTACTTCGTCAATTGTGGACTATCCGACATAGTAGAATGTCATAAATTTAAAACTGGACATAACAATACAAAATACACTACACTAAGACAAACAAACACTTTAAAATTTATATGGCGAAGCTACATATTGTGAAGAAGCCGGAGACAGAATGGGCTCCCGGTCTGACGGAAATGTATCACATGTCATCTCTACATTTCCGTCAGACCGGGAGCCCATTCTGTCTCCGGCTTCTTCACAATATGTAGCTTCGCCATATAAATTTTAAAGTGTTTGTTTGTCTTAGTGTAGTGTATTTTGTATTGTTATGTCCAGTTTTAAATTTATGACATTCTACTATGTCGGATAGTCCACAATTGACGAAGTAAGTCTATAAACGTTTATCACATATAAAAATTTTTTTCAACCATAAACTTGGAGTTTTTTATCCAAGTGAATTAATTTTCCTGTTTATAAAAAACGTTTCTTGGCTTATTTCAGATGCCCCTGAAGATGATCTATTGATTGAAAGTACTTGGGCAAGATTAAATTAATCACCGTGTTCGATAGTTGCCTTGTATACCCTCAAAGTTTAATTATTCGAACATTCAACCTTATATTGAATTAAGTAATATGTAAACAATCAGAATTTAATTATCTCAATAAAACAACTCTTGTTGTAATAGTATTCATGAAGGCAATTGTTACGCTAGATGTAATTTATAATAAAAATTCATCAGTATTGTATGCATTCAAATTATTTTTAACACAATAAACGTATGAAGAAACATATTGTACGTAACGTGATCCAAAAGTGAATTGATTTTACGAGATTCGCAGGATTCCAGGACTCGCCTTTGGAAACTTCTTACTCATCCCGTAAATGATCACTTTTGAAACTAGTTAAGTAAATTACTGAATTATCAGTAATAGTATCCCTAGAACATTGATAACAGACGAGATAATTTCATGACAATCGAATGCTCGTTCCTTGATAACAGCACGAAGCCAAAGGCTGAGTGCTGTTACCAAGCAACGAGCTTAAGAAATTTGTCATGAAATTATGAGGCATTCATCAATGTCCGAGGGATAATCGGCAGATAATTTTTCGAAGACTGGACAAAATCTACAATAACGACAATACATAAAAAAGGCAGCTTCCATAAATGCGACAATTATAAAACAATCTCTCTTATATCCCATGCCAGCAAGATAATGCTACATATAATCAATAAGAGACTGAAAATATTCCTTCAAAAAAAAATTCCACAAGAGCAAACGGGATTTACCAAAGGTAGAGGCACTCGCGAACACCTGCTGAATATAAGACAGATAATCAAGAAATCTAGGGAGTTCAACATCCCACTATACATCTGTTTTATAGATTACCGTAAAGCGTTCGACAGGGTCAAGTGGAGACACTTATGGCGAATACTAAAAGAATTAGGCGTACCACAACATCTAATTACGCTTATAACTGAACTATATGAACACACTACTGGATCAGTTAAGGTACTTGACACACTTTCGAACGAGTTTCATCCATATCGGTGTGTCAGACAAGGATGTATACTATCTCCACAATTATTCAACATATATGGGGAGTATATTATGCGAAGAGCACTTGAAGGATGGGAAAAGGGCGTCTCAATAAATGGTCATAAACTAAACAACCTACGTTTCACAGATGACACAGCCCGTCTGCAATTAAACATATCAAAGACAAAGATAATGATAGTGGATAGACTACACAACAATCATCCACACATAACCACAATTGACCGGGTCGAGGTTGTGAGCTCATACTTATATCTGGGATCATTAATCACAAACACAGGGTCATTACAAGAAGAGATTAAACGTAGATGTGATCTAGCAAAAGTTGCCACAGCAAAAATGACCAAAATATAGAAGGACTGTCAAATTTCAAGAGCGATAAAGATGAGGTTGATCAACTGCTTAATATTCCCAATACTGACCTACGGATGTGAATCTTGGACTCTGAGACAATCGGAGAGAAGAAAGATGGACGCCACTGAAATGTTCTGTTGGAGACGAATGTTGCGAATTCCTTGGACCGACCTTAGAACAAATAATTCAATTTTAAGAGAGCTAAAAGTTAGCCAACGACTCTTTAGTAGAGTCCATCTCCAACAATTAAAATATTTTGGACATGTTATGAGAGCAAACACAGAAAACATGGAAAGACTCATGATACAAGGAAAGGTAGAAGGCCGAAGATCACGAGGAAGATCCCCAACAAGATGGATAGATCAAATTACAGGAATATGCCAAAGACCTACGCACGAAGTAAAAGAAATGACCAGAGACAGGGATCTCTGGAAACGGACAATACACGACATCACGTCGACCACTAAACTCCCCCTGGGGGGTCAGGATTGAAGAGAGAGAATTTTTCGAAACAAAAATCACAACTCAACATAACGAAACTTTTATTTATTAAAAGTACAGTTAGTGAAAGTACAATTATTAAAATTTAAGTTAACATTAGAAACGTGACATTTTGAAATTTATTTGGATGAAGTTGTCAAACTCGATCGTGTTGTCATAGGGATTGAAAATTGCACTGAATGCAATTATCAGTCTAATGTTGACATGATTGGGTGAATTTGTTCCACATGACGAAATTTGAATGGTTGTTAGAACAGTCGAAAAATTATCATATTAATAAAACATTTTATTTTATAAAATAGTGTGTTAAGTGATTCGTAAGAAACGCTTTTTGTAATATTGTTTATGTAAATTGATTATTTTAATTAAATCTTCTGTACATCACAATTTTTTTAACTTACCTGCGTAAGCTATGCAATTAAGATAACCTTTATCTTGTAAAGATAGATTTAGATCACATTGTGCAGGTGCGAAAATATAGGACATAGTAGTTGTTTCAAATATTGGAGAAAATATTCCACATATTGCTGCTAGTATAAGTAGAATATTAAATTTTCCAAAACCAGTTTTTTCTATTGCCTCTTCGAATGTGGTTGGACCATATACTAAAATAAGTAAAATAATATATACAAAATAAACGACTAAGTTGAGTTTATGCAACATAGTTCTCAGAAAAGTTATTATTTTTTAGTTAGTTTTTTTTCGTTTTGTTTGGTCCTTTAGTTACTTTCTCGAAGATTTTCTATAGAACTTTTTTGTTCCAAACCTCAATTTTTCTTTGTCTGGTTCATGCATATACATAATATATAATAAAAGATAGACTGATCGTTGGAATACCAGCTTGTTCCTTGTGGACGTATAGTCGATAAACCTGACACATTAGACAGAGATGCAGAGACTATTGAAGCCCGTATAATAATAGATATAATAGATAGATCAATGGAAAAAAGTTTTCTTTGCTTTCTTCCTTTCTGTGGCACAAGATTTTGATAAAGTATGGCACGAAGGACTCAAATATAAATTAAACAGGAATTTGTCAAGTAAATACACAGAATTATTAAAATCATACATTTTAAATAAAGTTTTTAGGGCTAGATTAATAGAAGCCAGTTTTAGTTAAAAGAATTTCACGCAGATGTACCACAAGCACCATAAAGTGCCGCATGGGAAAGGCAAGAACGGTCTTTAACAAAATGAGCGCCATCTTCAAAAGTCACAACATATCCCTTGATACAAAAATGAGACATTTGAGATGCTATGTTTTCTCTGTGTTATTGTACGGGGCGGAGGTATAGACGCTTACAGACACCACTATTAAAAAACTTAAAGCATTTGAGATGCGGCTTTATAGAAGAATGCTGAGAATATCATGGACAGCAAGGATCACGAACAAGGAAGTTCTAGGAAAAATGAAGAAGGAACCAGATATTGTGTTTACAATCAAACGCATAAAATTGCAATATCTGGGACACGTTATGAGAAATGAGCACCGTTACTCCCCGCTAGAGTCTATATTGCAAGGTAAAGTCAAAGGTAAGCGAGGACCCGGTAGAAGGAGAATATCATTGCTGCGGAATTTAAGAATATGGTTTAAGAAAACCTCAAAGGAGCTGTTTAGAGCCGCAGCGAGCAAGGTTATGATTGCCAATATGATTTCCAACATCCGAAACGGATAGGAACCAGAAGAAGAAGTACCACAAGAGAGTGTATTAAGACCAGCTATGTATCAATTGTACACTAGTGATATCCATGAATTAAAGATGCAGAGATTATAGTTAGCCAGAAACAAATCACCCGGAATGAATAATCTACAAGCTGAACTATATAAAGAAGCTGCCATGATACCATATGGCATTAACACAATTTTCAAAAGAAATATGGACACAGAAATCCCTTCTCAATGATTCGAATATTGGCATACTTTGCGCCATACACAAAAAAGATATGTTTGAATAAGAGAACAGAGAACACATGTTACAATGTTTCGAAAGTAAAGAACTTGGGCGAATCTATGGAGCAGTGAATAAAAATGGAGTATGGAGAAGACGATACAACTTGGAACTTTATAGAATATATCAGAAACGTGATATCGTTAAACATATTAAGATAGTACGTCTGAGGTGAATAGAAAAATGCTCCTTGATAGACTCATTAGTCAGAGAAGAAGAGAAGGAGCAAGGTTCCTTGATAACATCGATGAAGACATGAGAAATATGGGAATACGTGCTGGGCGGAGAAAGGCGATAGATAGGGAATACTGGAGAGAAATTCTTGAACAGGCTACGATCTACGTAAAATTGTAAAGCCAAAATGATGATGATTATGGTATTCATGAATTAGATCATACCACAAATAGCTACCTTTGCTGATAATACTGCCATACTTGCCGTAGATGATCTTGAAAAAGCAATAAGAAAACTAAAAACCTGTGTTAACTCACCTATAGTGTATTTTTATGTATAAGAGAGTAATAAAACAATAAATTATGTATGCAAATCCCTAAACTGTTGATACGGATGACTCAATGTAAAACAGATATTTGTCAACAAGTTTACAGAAGTATATAGGAAAACAATTTTAAATTGAGTATGACCACCAGGTATAAAGGTTGGAGCAGAATAGAATACAATAGTTGTGAGGGTTACTAATCCCTAAATAAGGTTGCCAGTGTCGGAGTGATGGAGGTTAACAGGTATTAATGAATTTGCAAGAAATGTAAGATGTTTATTTTATTGGTTATATATAACCAATAAAAGTTTAATAAGTACCTACCTATTTGCACAATAAAGTTTAATTCTTTAGATAAAATAAAACGTTTTATTTTATCTGAAATGAGTGCATTCCACGAAGTAAGGGTTTCAACAATCAAATATTTAATTCTTTAATTCCAGGAATCTACGACAGTAATTGACTAGATAATTACCTTCTAAACTTATTCCACAGAAAATGTGATAGTGGGTTTTTTCCATTTTGTAGGAAGGTCCAAGTGGCGTATTCCAAGTTCACTAAAAGTAGGTACTTCAGTTGCAAGGTGCAGTTTATTGTGTATACTAGTGTTATGGAAAATTTGGAAGTGCCGTGTAAACGCCGAAAAATTGGCCCTTTAACAGTTAATGAAAAAACATTAATATTTAATTGTTTTAAATCATTTACAGACAAACGTTTATGTGAAAGTGTTGATGAGACCGTTGAGTTAGTTAGCAGTACACTTGGTGTTGGGAAATCTACGATTTACAAAGTTATTAAAGAAGAGAAATGTTGTAGTTTTCAAATGCCACGTAATGCTCCAGGCAAACCAAAATTTCAAATAGAATATCATTTTAAAGAAGGACTTCGACGGAAAGTGCATGAATTCTTCTTTAGACAAGAATTTCCAACATTGGATAAAGTTCTTGTCTCAGTTCGAGATGATAAGGATTACCCAGAAATGAGTCGAAGTACGTTATGGAAACTTTTAAAAGAAATAGGCTTCCGCTGGAAAAAGAATCCCAGAAAGTCTATTTTATTAGAAAGAAGCGATATTGTCATATGGAGAAGACATTTTCTAAGAATCATAAAGAAAATGAGAAACCAAAAAAGAAAAATATTTTATCTTGATGAAACATGGATCAACGAGGGTCATACACCAAATAAATTTTGGCAAGATGAAACTGTTACAAGTCAAAGGCACGCTTTTGTAAATAACTTATCTACTGGTTTAAACCCACCATCAGGAAAGGGACGCAGGCTGATAATAGTACACTTTGGCAGTTCAGACGGTTTTCTTAAAGGTGGTTTATTAACTTTTGAATCAACTCGTACCGGTGACTACCATAAAGACATGAACGCTGATGTCTTTCAAGAATGGTTCGAACAAATGATAGATCTTCTTCCTAAGAACTGTGTAATAGTAATGGATAATGCAAGTTATCACTCCAGACTTATAGAAGGACTGCCCACAACCAAGTGGTTAAAAAAAGACTTGCAGAATTGGCTGAGTTCAAAAAATATTACGTACCATCCCGGATCTATAAGAAAGGAACTTTATTTGTTGTGTGCCCTTCATAAAGAAAAATTCAAAAAATACGAAATTGATGAAATTGCCAAAAATCGTGGAATGACAGTACTTAGATTCCCACCATATCATTGTGAATTAAACCCGATTGAACTGGTATGGGCACAGATAAAGAGTGAAGTTTCAAGAAAAAATACCACTTTTAAAATTCATGATGTTAAACAGTTGTTTTTGAAGGCCGTAAATAATGTAAAACCTGAAAACTGGGAAAAGGCAGTAAATCACACTATTAAAGAAGAGGAAAAAATGTGGAAGCTGGACAATATTACTGATAAAATGATCGAGCCAGTTATTATAAATCTTGGTTCTGAAAGTTCATCTTCTGAATCTGATTTGGATTTGTAACAAGTAGCTGTAAGTTTTATATTAATATTTTTATTCATCTATTTAACATACCTTAGACGGTTTTAAAAACTCTTTTTCTCTTTTGTAATTTTTAAAAATTAAAAAAAATGTGAATTTTTTAAAACCCTTTTTAATATAGGCCAGTCAGTTCTAATATAGTGTGTGATAAAAGAGGTCACTTTTGTTTACATACACATAACACTTTATAACACTGAAATAATTCATTTATTTTTTACAATTTATTCAAAGTAATTTTTCAATCAATCTTGAGCACGCCCATGGACTGGTCGGAGATACCAGTTAAAATTATGCTAATTACTCTCTCGTTCATAAAAATAAACTATAACAACTTGACTACATTAGAGATTTATATTAAACCAGATCAATTAATCGATTAAACCAGTCAATTCTCATGAATTTTATAATCAAGAAAAAATCATATCCTGTTAATGTTAATAATACTCAGATACCATATACCCAGATCACAAAATATTTGAGTATTATATTATGCGCATTCTATGCTGAAGAGTCCATGTTAATTTATTGGGTATTGGGACAAAAATACACCTTGAACATCTTCAACAAAATAGTTTTGTATAAATAGATCCTGTAACTTATATGGAAACACGATATCTATCTTTGAATAGCTTGGACATCATCAAGCGGTTCGAAAATAAAGACCTAAGGAGAATTGCCATCGCTTCTTGGTACTATAGGAATATTGACCTGCAGGGAAAGCTAGAAATAGATACTGTAACAAGACAACTAAAACATGTTTTTATAAGTCACTAACAACCATTTCTTTAACACGTTAATGTTAAAGCGCCTCAGCCTTGACAACACTGATCTTGCTAAACGACGAAAGAAATCCTTAGCGTTGGTTAGCCCTCGAGTAGTCAAAGGCAAAGTGTAGTGCAAATAATGGTTAACCTAACAGGACCTAAGGGACACTAGTAAGTGTGCCCATAATGTTAATATTTTAGTGACAATTTAGGCTAGAAAAAAGTTGTTTATTTATCATATTGTTTGATCAGATGTTCTTAAGCCTCGTTTTGGTGTTTATTAACAAAACTTATCTCCTATTTTAAACAAATATATTACAGTGTAAATAAAACGAAAAAAAATGTTTATAAAATTAAATCACATTGCTAAAATCAAAATAAATAAAATAACTTACTGCTTTTAATAGACGGTTTTGGTTCATGATGCATGCAAAACTCCATCCTTGTAAAACAATGTTATATGCACTTGGTTAAATTCAATGTATATTTTGACTGAATGGATGTTACAACTAGCACTGGTATTTTAATATTATATACATAGATATACAGTTATATTTATTTAGAAATTAATTTTTCTTTAAATTTGTCTTAAAGTAATTTGATAAAGAATACATTGTTTAATTGAATTAATTAAATAATAGTGATAATTTTTTAAGAAAATGGATCTCTCCGGGTCAAGGTAAAAAAATAGATCAAAAAGAAAACTAGAATGGTTACTACGTCATACACTCGAGTTTTGACTTTACTTAAACCTTTTGTTTACTATAAGACTAATACTAATAGGTAAATTTATAAGGATGATGACAATATGAAAAATTCTACTTACTATCTACCGCATTTCTATGGAACTATAATAAACCATTAAATCTAGAGTCAATATAATTCAAGCAGATGTTTCCACCGGGTTTGGAATCCAGCCGGCGTTGTTTAACACGCTAGAAACACGTAAAGTACCTAGGAGTGACGTTGCACCAGACTGAAAAATGAGGGTATTATATGCGGAAGGTGGCCCAGAAGGCTGCAAATAGTGTAACTGCGTTGAAAAGAGGGATACATAATTTTGGGGGACCCAAATCCGACATAAGGAGTGCCTTAAACGGTATTGTACAGTCTATCGTCCTCTATGCGGCACCAGTCGTAAGCAAAGCGGTAGATATAACGTCCTATAGGAGGCCCATGAGACAAGTGAACAGAACAAGTCTGTTGCCAGTGGCATGCGCCTACAAAATTATGTCTGTGGCAGCCTTGTGAACCATCAGTGGGTGTATTGCGTTGCATGTTTTGTCGGTGAAAATAAAAGATCTCTATGAGAGAAGAGACCCAAACCTTACTATGGCAGAGAGAAGACAGCAAAGGGGAAGGTCAATTGAAAGATGGCAAAAAGAATGAAGCAATACGCAGGATGTGGCACAGTGGACAAATCTACTGATCTGTGGTCACAGGCGACTGGAATAATTTCTATCGCAGGTGCACACAGAACACAAGTATTTTATAGTCTACCTCTCTAGGTTTAAAAAGGCAGACACAAATAAATGCCTATACTGTGGATGCTCAGACAATGTAACACATACCACGTTGGAGCTCAACAAGTGGATAGTAGAACGAAATAGAATTAAAAGAGAAAGAGGTGTGAATTTTGTTATAGTGAGAGAAATGTTTAGAAGAATAATTAAAAATAAAGCAGGTTGGACTTGTGTATACAACTATATCTGTGCAGTGATCAGGCAAAAAAAAGAGAAAAAAAACAACTGGACTGACGGCAAAGGTAAGAGTGAAAGATTCTGGAAGTTAAAGGTAGAAAAGTGAGTCAGGCTATACGAGAGTTACACTGTGTGAGTTATACTGCGTGAGTCAAAGACTGTAAGGAAGGAGGAAATGTCTCTCTGGGAGTGATGCCGTACTAGCAGCGATGAGGGTCTTTCATGCGTTGTCTGGAACGAGACAGGGAGACTTTCTGCTGACAGTCTGTGGATTAATGAAGGTAGTGCTTCGAAAATGATGCCGACCTTACAGCGGCGAGCGGCCATTCCGCTTCCGGATCACTGGATGGGTCTGCTTTAGCAGGTTTGCGTTCAACGTTTTAAGAGTACGAAAAATGAATACTTCACTAAGGTCAGTCAGGTGTCGCCCTGGACTGAGCAGTCTTTTAAAAATTCCAGACCCAGTATAACGACAAAAAAATAAGCTTTCAACATAGATGACCCAGATGAAGAGTTAGAATAGTGTTACAACGAATTAGAATAAGAATTAGAAATAACCAAATGTAAAATTGTTACAATATTAATTGGAGATCTAAATACAAAAATCCAGAGAAAGTAAATCTGGAGAAAGGAAATCCGAAATAAAAGAAAAAATATTAGCAGCGAATAAAGCTTATTTTGCAAACAAAAGATTATTTAAAAGCAAAACACTGACTAAAAAAAGTAAGATGAGCATTTATAACACCATAATTAGACCAATATTATTATATGCAGGGGAAACAATGACGATGGTTAAAAAAGATGAAGAAGACTTAAGAATAGCAGAGAGAAAGATTATAAGAACCGCACTAGAACCAATCAGAACAGAGCAAAATGAATATAGAAGCAGAACAAATGCAGAAATTAGGGAAGAACTTAAGGAAGACATCGTAACTAAAATAAAGCAATGCAGAGTTAGATGGTTAGGTCACATTTGGCGAGCAGGCAATGAGGCAGTGACATACGCAATGATAGAATGGAATCCAGGAGGAAGAAAGAAAAGGGGAAGACCGAGATCAAAGTGGCTGCAAGAAGTTGAAGAAGACCTCCAAAGGGCAGGAGTCAGTGAATGGAGAGGAAGAACTAGAGACAGGAAAAAATGAAGAAATATTGTCAAAAAGATAAGATAAACAAAAAAAGACTGATCCACTTAAGAAATAGTATCTAGAAAGCATTTGCGGTTTAACCCCACACTGGGGTGTATAGCCATTATATATATATATATATATATATATATATATATATATATATATATATATATATAAATACAAAAATCTGTAGTTAAGTAAAGAAAATTTTATTTTTTAAATAATTTTAGCCATTTTGTACTTTTAGTAACTTAATTTGTTAATATATTTTTTAATTCATATAAATTTTCAATATATTATACTGGTGTAATTTCTCCTATAAGCCAGTCTCTCACTTGCAAATCTTATAAAGCTTGTTATTAACATAATCTATATAAATTATATTTTTCTTTGTTGAAATAGGTATTAAGAGAGCAAGTTTGTTATATTCTTCAAAGATCATTGGATATTAATTAAAACTATTTTACTTATATCAAAGCTTTATTATCTGTTTTTGGTAGCAGTAACGATAAGAGACTTCCAGCTGAAACAAAAAAAAATACATTGATAAGTTGTTTAACCTTTAAATTTTTTATAGTAAAAAGAGAATTAATATAAAAATAATTTTAAATTTGAAATGTTTATTGACATTCAAATATAAAATTATAAAGAATAAATATATAATTTTTGGTATATTCGACATCGCGACTTAAAAATCTTCAAAAAGTCATCCACGCACTATCTAAGCTCAGTAACAAAAAATGCAAATATGGTTTATACGCTACTGCTAGAACTGAAGCATACACACAACACAATAACGCGTTTGTCATCGACTATTAAACGCTGAAATGTCATCGCTGAAATGCCATCATGTCATATTCTCTAAAGAGAGAATAATATCGGTATAGCGAAATAATTAATACATTGTCATTATGTTAAACCAAACAGCGTTGTATAATTAAAAAAGTTTAAGGATCACAAAGAGCCATCACTTTATACCTTATTTGTTGGGTTTATTGGGATTATCATTTTTAAACTTCCTCTAGGATTTCGTCGACGAATTAGCTGCCCATTGATCAGTATTTTTCCTCTTCTCTCTTTTTTTCCTCAAAAGAAAAAAACTCTCTATTTCCTCCCAAGCAGTGGTTCGCCGTTGCAAGCCGATCTTTGGCAATAATAGAAATGTTACAAATAACAACTGGTACACATCAGTCGAACTTGTAGATGTTTTATTAAATAACAATTTAACATAATATCGATACATTTTTGGCAAAGTAACGTAAGTCACCAAAAATGATTTGTAAAAAAACAATTTTTTAATTCAACCTGGTTAAACTTATTTAAATTATGACTGAAAAAAAACTTGTCCTACTTGTCCTAAAAAAGCTTTAAAGTAATTCTAGGTTTACTACACTCTTTCAGTACCTTTTTAACAGTAATAGCATTAGTTTAATTGAAAAACATTATTTTCGCCAAAATTGTCACTTACGTTACTTTGCCAAAAATGTATCGATATGTTGGCACTATACAAAGGAGTAAGAAAGAAATTCCTAAAGACCCTACCATCTAGATCAAGATCTGTAAACTAAACATTTTACGGATTTACAAAAACTAAAACTATAATCTCTAGAGTGCCAAAGAAAAATAGCGCTGTGCTTTTAAGCCGCGTTTTCACGATGGCAATTGGCGAGACAATTGTCATTGGACAATTGTCATCACGTGGTTTCGGATTATCGGAGGCCAGTCCAGTTGAACGAGAAGATGTTTATACGGAGCCAACTATTGCCATGACAGTAGACAGCTAAAACATGACAACTATATGTTTGTGTGTCACAGTGTTGCCACATTTTTGTGTATAAAGTATATGACTTTTTAAAATAGAAAGATACTTTGACGAAATTGTATATAATGTTTTAAAAAACTTATACAGAAGTAAAATGCTTGCCACTTGTATTTAGGTATATACTTAGGTAAATGTGAAGTGTTTTACTTCTGTATAAGTTTTTTAAACGATGGTATACAGCCAACTACTGGGATTTTCCGATTAATTTTTATATAATGTTTTGATATGAGAAGCCACAATTCTTGAATTCATATTAAAAAGCATTCATAAAATAGTATTTTTTACTTTAAATATAGCTAAGTATTTAGTGTATTCTTATGTTAAACCTATTTGTTTTATTTTCATTTAACTTTACTTTATTCTGTAGTTTTTAAAGTTTTTAAACTATTAATTTTTACCTTCACCAATTGTCGCGACAATTGAGATTTCAAGTGGTGGAGGGGCTCACTGGGCGCAGCTCATTGTCCTCAGTCTACTCCCGGAGACAACTGAATTTTGGGCCAATTGTGAAGGTAGTTGGCAAGGCAATTGGCCTGAGGTGTTTAGGTGAAGACAATAATGCCATGCCAGTCAGTTGTCTTCTGACAATTGTCTCGCCAATTGTCATCGTGAAAACGCGGTTTTAATATCCTCGCTCCATCGCACGAAAGAAGATCATATTGAAACTAGGTTAGCGGAAATAAATGCCTTTTTTAACAATACGCAGGCGAAGATTCAGTAGACGAAAAATGCACAAAATACTCGTGCAGTCGAAGAACCAGGCGCTGGCGGATGGCAATATTTTTTTAGAAT